AGGTAGGCCAGCACCCAGATATGCTAGGCAGTATCCGGCTGAAAGAGACCGAAGGGGTAGGCCAGCACCCAGATATGCTAGGCGGTTACCAGTTGAAAAAGACCAAAGGGGTAGGTCGGGCACCCAGATATGGTTGACAGTATGTTATTGTATGGTATGTGGTATGATTGGGGAACTCACTAAGCTTCGTGCTTATGGTTTTCAGTTTAGGTTCCAAGTACTTCCTCTTCGAAGGGAAAGGAGTGGGCATGATGGCAGCGCATCACACACATGATTTTCCGCACATGAGATTCTTGGGATCTGTACTCTGACATTATTATGTTATGACATGTTTTGAGATATATGACTTATGGGTTATTATGAAATGAGATAACTTGATGATGTTTTCAATAATATGTTTTATGAATTATTAAATTAAAAATGAAATTTTTGGTCTCGGATTTTGGGATGTTATAAATTGGTATCAGAGCCTTGGTTTGAGGGATTCGGACACATCTTCGGGGGTGTCTAGAATCAAATCGAGGATTTGAAAAGTTTTTACAAAATTAAATTCTCCAAAATTTAAAATTAAGGTTTTTGAGAAAGAACAAGGAGTGTGATGCGTGCAATCGGCCGAGCTCAAGTAAGTTTTCCCCAAGATACCCATAGATGTTATGATATGATTATGAGAACTGCATGCTAGATTAGGGCTGAGGATCTAGGAAGGATGCCTTATATGCCTACTGTATGATTATGAAAATTGCATGCTAGATTAGGGCTAAGGATCTAGGAAGATGCCTTATGTGCCTGCTATATGTGCTTATTGAATTACATGCTAGAACTGATTAGTCAGTTATATGATGGCCTGATTAGGATATGCATGGTTTTGGTTACTCAAAGCCCAAATGCTGCTTGCTTTGTGATTTTAGGAGTTCTAGTTATCTTTAATTAACTAGTAAACGAATACGTTAGTTACATATTACGAGGACTAAATAATTTCAGAAGGTTAGGTCTAGCCCTATTTCGCAACTATTGTTTGAGTCCAACCGTTGTAGGGTAGGACCTCTCATTCGAAGAATTATCTGGTCTTAGTGATATGTAATGGTATTCGCGAGCTAGTTAGGGAAGGATGGCAGGGACTTCTTATGCAGCTGATGGCGGAGATTAGGTAGGAGATTACCCTAGGGTAAGACTAGGATGAGATTAGCATGGAGAGCAATAGTAGTAGAAGAGACTTGGTGAAGTTAAGGTAATCCTTGAGGAAAGTACGGATAGATGTGGAAGGTAGTATGGGCTAGTAACTATTGAAAGCAGAGGATCCATACTCGAGTCAAGGATGGCTGAGATGGAACCAGGGAACTTGTAGTATGTGTGAGACCCCTCGAGGTTATGTATGACACTGACGATTATGTGTTTTGTTTCAGAATGGTGGTGACACGTCACGAAGCAGGAGGTTCAGGGTCTGGGTCAGGATCAGGTTCAAGTCCGGGTTCAGGTTCCGAGCCGGTTGACGACGGATTATGCGAGTTCATTGCATCCGAGATTACGAGAGGCATCCTTGAGTCGACCCCTGTGATTTTTGAGTCGATCAAGGAAGGGATCATCGATCTGATGGAGGATCGCCTCAGGGCATTCAGGAGCGACATGGCACTGGGCCAGTCAGGGAATCACACGCTCTCCTTCAAGGATTTCAGGGGATGTGGTGCGCCAGACTTTCACGAAGTGAAGGATCCCATTGTGGCCGGGAGATGGATTGCAGACATCGAGTCTGCATAGTTCATGAGCTTCTGCCCTAAGGGGTCGAAGGTCCGGTATGTTGCGGGATGTTTGAGGGACAGAGCTAGAGACTGGTGGGGAAGCAGTCAGTGACACGTTGGGAGCCCCAACCATTGAGACTATGACCTGGTCGGAATTTGTGACCAGGTTTAGGGTTGAGTTTGCGCCGGCTGTGGAGATTCAGCAGCTGGCCAGGGAGTTTCTGGATATGAGACAGACTACTGAGTCGGTGGCAGAGATTACCGCCAATTTCAGGGAGAGGGCCTTACTGGTGCCTCAGTACGTGGGTGATGAGGAGATGAGGAAGACCTGGTACCATGACATGTTGAGAGCTGACATTCGGAAACATGTCAGCTACTCGGCATGCCCGACTTTGGATGGCATGATTGCGAGGGCGAGGAAGAGGGAGATTGATATAGAGCACATCAGGAAGAGGAAGGCGGAGACTGGGCAGGCGACTGGGGTTTTTGGGAAGAAACCCAATGGATTCGACTCGAGGTCGAAGGGCCAGCAGGTTCGGGGCCGCTGTGGGAAATGCGGCAAGTCGCATGAGGGAGTTTACAGACTAGGGGGATCGGGCTGCTATAGGTGTGGCAAGACTGGGCACTTTGGCAGGGATTGTACTGCCCCTACCCCCCACCTTTCAGACATCAGACTTGGTAACTCAGTCCTAGGGGACTAGATCTATTGTTTGGAAGCGTTGAACTCGATTAGAAGCGACTGAATGGGTTTAGACTAAAGGAACTCGACGAGTTGTTCATCCAACTCGGCGAGTTGGATCGTGATCCCCAACCTTTTCTGATTACTGAGCAAACTCAGTGACTCTTGGAAACGACTCATCGAGTTGGCTAAGGTCTTCCGAGTTTTGAAGATTAAAGAACTCGACGAGCTCAAGGAAGGACTCAACGAGTTGTAGTGAAATGTCCCGATTCTGTTGATAGGAGAAACTCGACGAGTTCGTGCAAGAACTCGACGAGTTGGATCGTGATTTCGGGGTTTATGATTTATGGAACTCGGCGAGTTAAGTCAACCCAGAATGTTGACTTTGACTAAAGTTGACCCTTAAGTAGTAATAAGTATGGAAAAGGGAGTTAAAGGAAATCTTTTATGTGTAGGAGTTTGAGTATGGTTGATTTCAAAGCCGAGGACAGTTCAGCTACTCTACAGCAGTTGAGGTGAGTTACCTTCCAGTAGAAGTGGGTCTAAGGCACCAATGCCGGCCCACTAGTAGGTAATTATAGTTGAGATGATTGTCTTTGTGATAATTGTCTGGTATGCCACTATCTGTTATGTTTATGTGCCAGTATGTTCTGTTATTAGGTGGTAGTGGTAGGGGTGAAATAGTCCACGGTTACCGATTGAAAGAGACCAAAGGGGTAGGCCAGCACCCAAATATGCTAGCCAATATGTGATTTATGTGTATATGTTAGGGTTTTATGTGGTAGTGGTAGGGGTGAAATAGTCTCCGTATTCGGTTGAAAAAGACCGAAGGGGTAGGCCAACACCCAGATATGCTAGGCAATATCCGGTTGAAAGAGACCGAAGAGGTAGGCCAGCACCCAGATATGCTAGGCAGTATCCGGCTGAAAGAGACCGAAGAGGTAGGCCAGCACCTAAATATACTAGGCGGTTACCGGTTGAAAAAGACCAGAGGGGTAGGTCGGGCACGCATATATGTCTGACAATATGTTATTGTATGGTATGTGGTATGATTGGGGAACTCACTAAGCTTCGTGCTTACGGTTTTCAGTTTTGGTTTCAGGTACTTCCTCTTCGAAGAGAAAGGAGTCGGCATGATGGCAACGCATCACACACATGATTTTCCGCACATGAGATTCTTGGGATTTGTACTATGACATGATTATCTTATGACATGTTTTGAGATATATGACTTATGGGTTTTTATGAAATTAGATAACTTGATGGTGTTTTCAATAATCTGTTTTATGAATTATTAAATTAAAAATGAAATTTTTGGTTTCAGATTTTGAGATGTTACACCTTTGCATAAGGACTAAGGAGACAATGACAACCAGTAAATAGGTAAAGATACTAAAAACAGATTAAAATTTTGCAATTTTAATGGATTGTTAGGATCAGATCGGATCCCAATCCTACGATCCTGTCTATCATCTTACATACAAAACTAAGCCTGACAATTCTCGACACGACCCGCGACACGACACGAGATAAACAGGTTTGGGTTGAGTTTTTCAACCTGTCAGCCCGTTTATTAAACAGTTCATATATGAGTTTGTCAAAAAACATACAGGTTGACCAGTCAACCCGTTTAGAATTTTAATAAAAAAAATTATATATTTTTTAAATGTATTAACTATTATTCGTAGGAATGTAGGATACTAGGATAGGATATCATTGTCTTCCATAAGATTATTGTACCATTTGACCCGTGACCTTGACCTTTGGTGGGTTATTCAAATGATATTTATACATTTTTATTTATGTGTGTTTTAACCTTGCATATTGTTTCTACTTGAAGGTTGAAGCACATCATAAAAAAGAAAAATGATTGGAAAATTGAATTTGTTTTTTTGGGAGAAAAAATGGGAATTGTGGCTATTACATTAGCACTTGAATTGTATTAATGTTTTAGTTTGAACATGTTTCCATAAATGTTTTTAATTTTCATTTGCATCTAGAATTTATTCATGTTTAATTATCGATTTTATTTATGAAATCTGACCTGTAAACCCGCCAACCCACGAACCCGTCAACCGTATAAATATATAGGTTGACGAGTCGTATATAGGTTTATGCTCCAAACCCGCCAACCCATGACTTATATAGTTAAATGGGTCGTGTTCGGGTTGGTGTATTTTGACCGGCCAACCCGAACACGACACGATTACCAGGCCTATACAAAACGATCCTATTACGATCCGACAAGGTTTTCATAGGTAGAATCAAAATCCCGATCTTGACAACCTTAGACTAAGTGTGCTAGTAGGGTTCAGACTAAACGGTGTTCAAATATTGGGTTGACCAAGCCTTTAACCGATTATGACCAGGTCTTGGCGAAAGCCCAACTTATATAATTGGGCCATAGGGTACAATAGATGGGACTAAATGACTAATAGTAAGTACTTACCTGGTGATCCAAAAAAAAAGCCGTTTTAACTTTTAACACACATCATACGCATACACGTGGCCTTAGAATATAGATTAGCAACAAAAGGAAAAAAAAAAAAAAAAAAAAAAAAAAAAAAAAAAAAAAAAAAAAAGATAAAACGTGACGTGACGTGATGTGGTACATCTGTTTGTTTCAATTTCCCTTCCAACTTGGCGAAGAGAAAATCATACACAAAACAGGGACCAATGACAAATGTAATCAAGGGCCCGTCACCTCCATGACTTTGACCTGAAAACACCATCGACCATCAGCCCTCTCTTCAACTTATATTTACAAAACAACCACAAATTATATATCCACTCGGAACCGTGAGGGCACGCTCGTCTTTTTGCATTGCTCCTCCACTCGTACAGCTCCAGTTCCAGTTGGAAGGAATTATACAAAAACATTTTTGTTTGTTTGTTTTTTATGTCAACTGCCCAAAAGTTTGATTATAGAATAGAATGCCTCCATGCCTGCCCTCCCCTCTCATTTTTGCAACAACACATGTAATGTCACAGTAACTAGAAATGTCGTAATTGCCCTCAAATCAACACCTGCACATGCGGCTGTTCGTTCCCAAACATAAAACATATCAAAGATTCAAATCCATGATTTATATTTTAAAAAAAAAAAAAAAAAAAAAAAGGTAATATAAAATTAACTTACAAGATGGTTGCGAATATGGGCCTGGTGATGGTGCATCAGAAGGGTATGTATCAGTGGGGGGATGACTTCGCGCAAAGACTACGTTTGGCAGTGGGCTTGATGCAGGGATTGTTTCCGTTACAGGTGGTGGTGGTGGCGGTAGAGGTGGTGGTGGAGGTGGTGATCGTGGCGGTGGCGGTGGCGGAGGAGGAATATGCGGTGGAGGAGCTGGCTGAGAGACGGGAGGAAAGAGAGGAGGATGCTTCTTCTTGTGGTAACCAGGACGACAAGCTGAAGACTTTGGATGAGGTGAAGGGGTGGGGGCGGGGGTCGGTGGTACTGGTAAGGAAGCAGGGGAAGGTGGTTTTGCAGGCGGGAATGGCTTATCATGGTGGTGGTGGTGGTGGTGGTGGTGATGGCGGTGGGGTTGAGGAGGTGGATTTGGTAGGGGGGAAGGAGAAGGTACCGGAACACCAGCAGCACCACTAGAAGAAGAAGAAGAAGAAGAAGAAGCATTAAGGGAGATGGAGGAAAGGCTAATTTGCTTGACCTTCCCAAATTGAGTGTTATTGAGTCCAAGATTTTGAGTTGGTGAGCCCTTAATGGTCTGAGCCAACTGTTTTGACCTGGCCATGGATGGTGTCCCAATGGCTAGAACCACTGATGACTGTACAGTTGTATATGGAGCCACTGTTGACCCTTGTGGATTCGTCAAACTAACATGCAAGTTCTGCATTGCATTTTATAAAAAAATTCAATTTAATGTCATCATCTTCACAAATAAAAACAAAAAGGCTCCCGCAACTTTTTAGTTTTTATACAGGTATAATCAGTGCAACAAAAAAAAAATTAGTTTAGGGACCCGAATTACGTTGCTAATTATTTAGGATGCTGTCGACTAGATTTGGTAGACATTTATCTTATGTTTGGATATTTACCTTAAAATTCTTAGTTTGTTATTCATATGAAATTGAGACCTTACACTATATAATAAACCAATATTATCATTTTTGGAATAGAAAACATGACACAGCAATAATTTATAAATAACTAAGTAGTTTATGATACTAGATGTATTTTTAACATCAATACCTTTATACTACTGGATATTAATAAACCCATATCTTAATCTTGTTATTTCAAAATGATATGTAAATAACTAACTAATTTATAACACTTGGTATTTTCAATAACAAACTAAAACAATTATTTTGAAAAGCAATTGACTTTAATAGATATAAAGTTACTATGGATATTAATTTTTTCTTGATTTCATTAATATAAAAATACCTCTTTTTTGTTGTGAACAAGAGTTGAGCATTTTATAACTTGTAAAATACACAAAAATGATTGATTTTTGTAGTATTGTTCAACGAAACAGTATTCTTAAGTTGACAATTAAAAAAAATACAAATTTGTGATGAAATCATGGCTAACTGGTGTTTAAATGATCATAAATGGATAACTGGAACTGCAAGTTAATGATAAATTGGTATAAAAACTACAACCCGATGTTAAAACCGATATTGCCAATTAAACTATGAAATACATACATATAAATGATAAAACTATATATTAATGACCAACTATTTGTTGTCCACATTGGTCACTATTTATGTCTTTTTTATCCATCAAAGATCCCTAAACTCTTTTTATGGTGCTAATTACACCATTATAAACGAAAATTTACAGGCTATAGCCAGTCATAATTGTGTATTCGATACAAATATAAAAAGTTTAGGGGCTCTAGATGTACAAAAAAATCCGGATTGACCAAATGTGGACATGGTGAATAGTTGGATGGTGGATTTCAATATAAACCCTAAATAATATAAGGAAAAAAGATTAGATTAGTACCTCATATTGAGCAAGATGCAGGCCTGATCTGAGCTGGATTGTGAGTTCATCAAAGTGGTCTAATATTTGTTCAATAGAAAAGTTCAATGTGAAGTTGAACCGTATTTGGACCTTTTGCAATGGGTATGCACTCTGGTCAGGGGTGACTGTAATTCCTCCAACAAATTTCAGGACCTCAAAAGAAGATGGTTGACCGAATAAAGATTCGGTCAAACGCAGGGGTGATTGGCCAAGAACAATAGATACAAATGAATCTCTTACTACACTTTTAGCGTATGATGGAATCTTTGAATTGTGTTCATCAGGATCAACACCAAAAATGATCTTGGTTGTATTTGATCCCGAGCTTTCTGCAGTTATGATTACAACCTGAACAACAAACAAGTTCAATAAATGAAATGAGAGAGAGAGAGAGAGAGAGAGAGAGAGAGAGAGAGCATGCCTTAGTTGTGGGAACTCTTATTTCATCAAATATATCACCCCCAAGCTGTGGAAAATCATCTTCCAGCAAAGACAATGGCTTCTCAACCATAAAACTTGCTACTATGTCATGACCTACAAAGTAGAATCAAAAAACATAAACATATGAGTCTTTGAACAGCATATAGGCTACAGCAACTAATGAGTCTTTCCACAATTATCTTAAAGCATCAAAACTTTAAGGGATTGCTATAGAAGGTGCTAGTTTTATCAAAATCTGTAAGTGCTTTGACAATTGGTTATATATGTAATATGCCCCTCAATAGGGAAATATTGTGCACCAAAATCAACATCACCAATATTTAGTAAAGATTTAGAAATGAACAAACAGATAACTTCGGATCGAATCCTGGGCATAAAAAAGAAAGGTTACATCTATTTGGAAAGAGGCTGGTCCCATTAAGTCAAAGTTACACAACAACTGAGCATGAAAAAAACTATTAGAATGTCAATGTCTTCATAGGTTAATGCAGCAATTTGAAGTCTGGAATCACCACATCAGATTCTCCAGCTTGTTTATCTTCTTCCTATATCCTCGGCTCCCAACAGTCTATAACAATCTAATTCGTATGAATAGTCTAAGCAAGAAAAGAAAGAATGCAGAAGACATCCAATAAAACCTTCATAACTATAAACTACTTACCAAAAACAGCACAGCTGGTGTACATGAACTACCATTTAGAGTTTTAGATAAATTATCACAACCTCCAATTTTCAATCAACAACTGAACAGTAAACGATTCATTACCTAAGTTGAATTCGAGCATTTATATGATATAAAGGTGAAAACAAAAAACAAAACATCTATGTAGTTATCCGTTGATCACATAATCTGAGAATAATCGCAGTTAATACGGCACTGTAGACCTAAGCACCGACAAATCTAAACAAATTAAAGCAACTAAAACTTCAAAAAGTAAGAAACATCAAATCCACAAAGCATAACTGCAGCAATTCAACCCTAAACTACACAATTCAGTTCGAAACTATACTAAAAGCAGATGGGGATCTGTATGTTACGAGCAATGCCGCGATGCTCGGATTAAGATATAAACAAGCTACAAGAAAAATAAAAATAAAAATAAAAGGACAATATCTCCTTACTAACCTTTATAATGAGAATCGAGATCTAGATCCCCCTTATCTCCGTGGCGAAAAAACGGGGGCAACCAGAAAACAGCAGAGAGCAAGACCGAAAGTCCAAGGATCAAAATAAACACACATCGAAACCGGAATATATGAGCAATCCTACAACAGCAGGAACAATTGTCTGCATTACGAGGAGTTGATTGTGAATGAGCGATGGTAGAGGGTAAGGGCTCTTCTTCCCCCTTTCCCATATCGGGGAATGTGGGTTGTTTCTAATTGAATCAATCTTCTTCCCCATTGCTGGTGTGAGTTGTTGGAGAGTCCATGGCTGCAGAAATAGAGAGAGAATAGGGCTGGATTTTGATATAGGGTTTGGGGATGTTGGGAGAGAGTAAAGAGTAGAGTTTTATTAACTTTGTGTTTAGTGTTAGTGTGAAGGAAAGTGATGGATTTTTGCTTCGAGAATGTGATGTTTAAGATTTACTTTAAATTCTTGCATTTAACGGTTTTCCAATTTTATTAATAGACAAATTTACATAAATGGTCTTTGTGTTTGGCGAAATATATCGTATTTGTTCCTTAGGAAAAAATTTCTTTCATAGATCGTACTTATGTTTGAAAACTCTTACAAGAATGGTCTTTAATTAACATTGTTAAAAATAAAAGGGTTAAGTTTTTTGCGAAATCTCGAAATTACCGGTTTTGGTACTTTTCCCATAAATGGTTAATAATTAAAGAAAATGGATCTCACCAGTTTTATCTTTCCCAACGCTTTTATCCTTCCGAAACTACCATAAAAGTCATCCTTTTTTTAAACTCTCTTTCTCCTCTTTATCTCTCGTCCCCTTCATTTTTCTCTCACATCATCTTGACGAGAAACCTTCACCAACTTCATATGTTTACTATAACGTCGACATTCCCTCACAAGTTACATATTTTCACTATCATCTTACTAGTAAACCTAAACCACCACCATCATCGAGCTTCTTCACCATTACCAGAGATCGAGATCGCGAAACAAATACTATACTTTGTATGAAGCACATATAACCATCCATATATAAACAACATAATTAAAACCCACACCGATTTTAAAGTTCTCTGTTTACTAAAAAACGCAATCGTCATCATTCCCTCCCTTGTTTCTAACTCACCAACATTGCCCTAAATTCCTAATCATTAAATGAACATACCTATTATCTATAAGCACCTCGGCAAATTCTGAATCTTTAAAAGATCAAACCTATTATCGAACTTCAAGCTTGATTGGTTGTCGTTACTTTAATTTAGGGGTTTAGGGAGTCTAAATCGGTTGAGTCAAACCGGATTAATCTCAAGTACTACGTTTTTTTAATATTTCATATGGAATTAATTTCCTTTGTGTAATTATAAATCTCTATAAAGAAACTTGACGGGTTTTAACATTTGATTATATCTCTAAAAAACGTATTATATATGTTTCCCTTCCAAATTAATGCATGTGAAATTGAAGTCAATCAAACAGTGTGTTGTTCTTTTATGTTCAATTTATATCATATATGGTGTGTGTGGTTTGGGTATGGTTTGCTTTATTTGTATTCTTTCTATGTTATTTTTTACAGTAAGAGATCATGTGTTTTCAATTCTTTCATATGGATTTATTCATTACTTCATCGAAAATTTCATGTGGGTTTTGTTTTAGTTGTGTGGATTACTTCATTTGATGATTTTTAAGAAAAAATAAAGGATCAACAAATTTGTTGGTTTGTAGATTGATTTGGTTTTATTGTCTCTTTATGTTTTATGGATTGTAAATTAATGGAGGTTAATTATGTTAGTTTGTTTCGACTTTGATTTGTGTTTGTAAATATGGTGCAAGGTTTCTTAGAGGAAAAAAATAAACAATATTTTATGACATCTAAACCAAATTTTGAGGATGTTATAGTTAGCAATCACAATAATTATGCATCTTTTACCATCTTCTAGCTTTCCTTTAAAAGCTCTCGAATTTATCCTATATAATTTTGGGGAAAAAATAATTGGGTGGTCAACCGTTGAAACAACTCATTTTATGTCATTGATCCCATTTTACAACATGTGACATGACTTGTGTAACATCCGGTCCAGGTATGAATCATCTTTCTTATATTTATTTTAAAAGGAGTGACCACGACGTGGTGGAACATCACCACGACATGGCGTATCAGTTTGGATCGTCGGATTTCTATGACTCACCATGGCGTGGTCCTCATGCACAACGACGTGGCGGGTGTTTTTTTGTGAAGACCCTAATCTTCGCGTCTTGGACCCTATTTAAGGAACATTTGTAACGCCCGGATCTTGAGGTACATCGTTCATAATCAAATTATCATTTTGGGGATTACAACGGCGTGGTGGAGGCACCACCACGACGTGGCGAGGCGAAAATGGGTCGTGTCTTCATTCAGTCACCATGACGTGGCAGTATTGGCCATGGCGTAGTGGCGGCTCGCATGCAAATCCTATTTTTCCGGGCTTGCTCCCTATTGAAAGGAATGAGGAGGCTAGGGTTTGCTCATCCTCAACCTCCATCAGTTCCCTCATGTAACATCCTGTTCTTTCAGGTATTTACCCTTTATCCCCTTAACATCTTGTTGACATGTGTTTGAATGTTATATGACTATATGGTTATATGTATCTCAATAGGCAGGGCCCGTTATGCGCGTGTGGGCGGGGCCCGTTATGCGAGTGTGGGCAGGGCCCGTTATGCGAGTGTGGGCGGGGCATGTATCTTAGTGGGTGGGGCCCATTATGCAAGTGTGGGCGTGGGCCGTATCTCATTGGGCGGGGCCCGTTATGTGATAGGTTATGTATGGTATGTGGTATCTTGGGGAATTCACTAAGCTTTGTGCTTACGGTTTTCAGTTTATGTTTCAGGTACTTCGGTTTTCAAATGGAAGAGCTCGTGATGGTTGCAGGGCACACGCCACATGTTTTCCGCATTCTGTGATTTACTCTGATTCGATGATGTTTTGCTAAGCTTTGTGCTTACAGTTTTCAGTTTATGTTTTAGGGTTTGCACTCTATTTAAGCTCATTAAATCCTTCAAACCCATCTCTGTATCAGCCTACATTGCCTTTTTGAGCTAACCTCGAAACCCTAATCCATATTATAAAGAGATTGACCTTGTATGTGTGTTTTGTGTGTTTGTGGTGTGCCTTGAAGAAGGAGAAGTCTAGTGGAGAAGCATTGGATAAGAGGAAGCTTGTAGATCCAGAGGTTATTCACCCTTTCTAGCTTCTTGAAGGTATAAATTTCTTACTTTGATGGTTCCTTGCTTAGATCTCTTTTGATGGGTAGATTTAGAAGTTTTGGTCCCATAACTTTGGTCTTATGGAGTATGGACTACTCCATACCATTTGAGTTGTCATTTTGAACACTTAAGAGTGCATGGAGTCATAAAAATCGGATTCTGGAGGTTAGAACTCAACCATGCATGAGTTGGTGACCACTTAAGGGAGATAGAAGGCTAAATCCATGGTTTGAGTCCCATTAAGACATGCAAAAGCATAAAATTACAACTTTATGGCTTAATACGTTTCAATAAGCTTGGATCTAAAATTGGACGTTAGGTCTTAACTGATTAAGACCTTAAAATGAGGAATTGGCTAGTTGCAGCGCATGTCGGGCGTACCTAGACGTACGTTGCGTGTACGCGCCTGAGGTCTCATTGATGCGAGGGTCTTGAGTACGTCGGGCGTACTGATGGTACGCTGAGCGTACTCACCAGATGGGATTTTGGGCTTTTTAGCCTCGGGCCATCATTGACTTAGGGATTTGGGCCTTTGTTGGGCAACAAGCTCTTCGGTGGTGGGCCTTCATGATCTTGGGCCCATTTTGGACATGGAATGTCTTATGGGCTTTGGGGATAATTGTGTTTGGGCCTTGGTGGGTTAGGCCCAATAAGGCAAGGGTTAAGCAACCTTTTCAGAGTTTGTGTAACACCCTGCTTCGAATCGTTTCGTAATTCGGGGTCGTAACTCGAATATCAGTTATCATAAGGCTTCGGCCCTTGGTGAAAGAGAGATTTAGACCCCTTTGGATGTGGGTAATGCAGATTAGGTGATCTGAGAGTTCGATTGGTGCTTTGGAGCCAGAGGGTATAACCGTAAAGTGATAGTTCAGGCCTTTTATGAATTTTGGATTTAAGTTCGGAAAGTTGTAAGGAAAGGGAGGGTTTATAGGATGTAGAGCTTCTCATTACCTTTTCGTGGATATAAAGATCGTCAAAATCGGAGTTGAAACGAAGAAGTTATGACCATTTGAAGTTACGGCGGTTTTGGGTTGAGCCGCATACGTTGGGTGTACTCAACGTGTACGTTGGGCATACTAGGGCATCCCTAGTACGTTGGGCATAAATTGAGTATGTTAGGTGTACGCGATCAGTGCCCAAACCATATTTTCGTGGTTTGAGCCTTATTTAAGCTCATTAACTTCCTCAAACTCATTTCATTCTCAGCCTCCACCTCTCCAACACCCTCTCTTGTAACCCTAACCCTAGATTGAGCCTTGTGAGCAAAAATAAGGTGTTTTTAAGTGCTTTGGAGTGTTCTTGGTGCACCTTAGAGAATAAGGAACTCATTGAAGAAGTGTTGGTTGCATTGGAGCTTGTAGATCCAGACTTTGTTCACCTTGATCTTTCTTCTAGAGCTATAAAGTTTGAATCTTGATGATGAAATTGTTAGATCTAGCTAGTCTTGGGTGTAATGAGCTTTTGGTCACTTTATGTGCATAGAGTTTAGATCTTGAAAGTTTGTGACCTTCTTATAGATAAAGTTGGAAACTTTATCCATCTAAACATCATTTTGATTTAGATCTGAAGGTTGGAGACTTGTACTTAATGGATTAAGTTGAAAAAGAAGCGCTTTTGGGTCCCTTTAAGACTTAAAGACTAGATCTTGATTGTTGGGACCATTCTAATGGATAAAGTTGGAAACTTTATCCATTATGGAGCTATTATGCACCATAAAAATGTGATCTTGGCCATTCTATCCCTTCCATTCAAGAGTTGTGATGTCTTATTGGGTTAAGAACTTAGGGTTTTGGACATTAAGCACTTTATAGTCATGCAAAGCCATAAAGATGGAAACTTTATGACTTAGGACATCATTTTGGGCTTTGATCTGAGTTTTGGACGTAAGGGCTTAATGGAATAAGCTCTTAATGGAGTTTTGGGACTGGGCTGCGTACGTTGGGCGTACCTGGTGGTACGCTACGCGTACGCGGTCATCGCCCCGCTTTTGGTTAACATCAGAGTACGTTGGGCGTACTTTCTTGGTACGCAGGGCGTACTCCGTTGGAAGAAATATTAACTTTTGGACCTTGACCGTTGACTTTGACTTTGACCAGGGTTGACCAAGTTTGACCTAAGGGCATTTTGTGTAACGCCTGGGTCGTCAAGTATTTTTCTTATGAGGCTTATTCAAAAAAACATATGT